ATATTAGAAACAAAAATTGATAGACAACGGATTTTCCTGCATCCGCTTTGGATAAACTCAAAAACTCAAATCTCAAGCATAAGTTAATTCACCTATGAGTTTTGACTTGCAATCACCAATGAGGTACAAAAATTAATTGCTTTATATTTTGGAGTTACTCATAGTTAGTACTGTTATCTTTTTTTACATTTCATACAATTGGTAATTTGTATCTACAGTACCAGATGATCGTCCTCGTGCCACCGTGAGTCTCTAAACAGTGCTGTTATTCTCTCTGGGAGGCCACTTAATGAATGATATATGAGGATGATTTTCTAAACACTGACCATAATGTTGAACATATAGTTTTTGTTATTGTTGTGTTAGTGCCATTGGTCATATTTCGTCGAGTAGATGTGATTTTATATGTCGCTTGATATGGTTGTGTGAGATATAAAATTCGATCATACGGAACCATAATTCGGAATGTCTGGAACCGGTTCCACGGTGGCCCTATGGCTCTATAGTTGTTGTTTTGAGTGCCATTGGTCATATTTCGTCGAGTAGATGTGATTTGATATGTCGCTTGGTATGGTTATGAGCGATATCAAATTTGACCATACAGAACCATAATCCGGAATATCCGTAACCGATTTTACGGTGGTCATATGGCTCTGTGGGGCCTCATAGCCTAGTCAGTAAAGGCACGGTATTACCAAGCCGGAGGCGGCGGGTTCGATTCCCAGTCCGGTCGAGGGAATCTTTCGGGTTGGAAATTTTCTCGACTTCCCTGGGAGAGTATCATTGTGCTTGCCACACAATATACAAATTCATGCATTGGTATTGGCATCGAAAGCTCTCAATTAATAACTGTGGAAGTGCATTTAGAACTTCTTGGGTATCTTGCTGGCCAAGCTGGAGATACTTGGCATCTCGTCAACTGCTGTGGATTGGTTCAGATCTTACTTGGTGAATCGCTATGTACATGTCAAGATTGGCGCGTCGGAATCGGATGTTTTCTCAAACAACTCGGGAGTCCCGCAAGGCAGTAACCTAGGACCGCTACTATTTTCGATCTTTTTAAACGATGTCGCCTTGCTGATACCATCAGGATGCCGCGTTTTCTATGCAGACGATACGAAAATCTACAAAATTATTAAAAGCCTCTCGGACTGCTGGGATCTCCAGAATATGTTAGGTATTTTTGCTGACTGGTGCTCAAGAAATTTGATGAGTCTAAGCAAAGAAAAATGTAACATTATTTCCTATCACCGAAAAATCGAACCAATCATGTTTGACTATGTTCTCTACGGACACTGTCTTGCTCGTGTAGAGCACATAAAGGATCTCGGCGTTACCTTGGACTGCAGACTCACTTTCAGAATCCACTACAATGACATCATCTCCAGAGCTAATCGACAATTGGGCTTTATTTTCAAAATTGCCGACGAGTTTCGTGACCCGCTATGTCTCAGGTCACTTTACTGCTCGCTTGTGCGATCCTTATTGGAGTCAAGTTCAGTTGTTTGGTGCCCTTTCCATGCTAGCTGGATCACTCGAATTGAATCCGTTCAACGCAAGTTTGTGAGATATGCTCTTCGTTTCCTCAACTGGCGTGACCCAACGAACTTGCCACCGTACGAGGATCGTTGCCGTCTCCTGGGAATCGAGCCATTAGAGGTGAGACGGACGGTCGCTCAAGCTATGTTCGCTGGAAAGCTGCTTACAGGTGACATTGACTGCCCAACACTGCTGTCACAGCTAAATATGTATGCCCCTGAGAGGTCTCTTCGTCAACGCAACTTTCTGTTTTTGGAACCACGGAGCCGGAATTATACACAACACGAGCCAATTCGAGCAATCAACTGGCAAGCTGGCAATTCAACAACTTTTTTTATATGTTCGACTTCAATGTATCAGCTGACGTGTTTCGTCATCTGCTACTTGGCCTTTTCCGTACCGTTGACCGTAACTATTTAGTTTAAGTTTTATTCATTTAGACAGTAATTGTCAGTTGAATATTTCAATAAACAATAAACAATAAACAATAAACTAAGTTGAGAGCACGCAATAAGTTATTATGCGCTAAGCAATAAGCTTGAAATGCGAACAAGAAGAAGAAGAATATGGCTCTGTGGACGTCGTTTTGAGTGCCATTGGTCATATTTCGTCGAGTAGATGTGATTTAATATGTTGCTTGATATTGTTATGACAGACAATAAATTTGACCATTTGGAACCATAATCCGGAACATCCGGAACCGGTTCCATGGTAGCCATGTGGTCTTATGAATGTTCTCTATCATTGCCAGGAGTTTCACGAAAAAAATCAATATGTTGTCGCAATGGTATGTAAGATATATGATAAAGATTGAAAAAAATACCCCCGTGCCAACACATTCTTGAATATATATAAAAGAGGGAGGGTCATGGGGGGGCAGTACCACCCAACAAATGTAAGAACCACTCACCGGAATGATGTTAAAAAAAAGTCATTTTAATCGGCCATGGCATCTCTGAGATACAAATTTTTGAAAATAAAAAGTTTGTCCCGGGCTTTTACGGGTTAATAAGAAAATTATGAAATTCTTTGAGACTTCCAGGTATTTTATGGAAACAAAAAATTTCCTGAGGATTCCTGGTTTTCCAGATTTTCGAAGTTTGTAGAGACCCTAACTAATACCGTGGGTTTGGCCATAAACTTTCGCTTTAAAGGTTCATATCGTACATAAGTGTTTATGAGACCTACTAATTGAATAAGTCTAAATCATCAAACATTTATTGGGTGTGCCATCATAATGACTACTTTTCTTCTCTTAGGTTACTTTTTAGTCACTATTTGGTCACTTATTTATTCAACATGGTCACTATTTCTGACAGCAGTGATCGCTACCAGCCCTGCCATTGGTTTCACTAATTTTTTTGAATAATTGACGAAATTAGAATAGATAAACATGATCATGATGACAGTTGGACCTATGTGTTTCCTAAGACGGCCACTAGGTGCGCTTCGGTTTGTTTACATCCTTCATGCGCAGCTGATTTGAAATTCGATTTCGCGTTGGCCGAGGGTTCAGTTTCCTCGATTGAAAAAAATGGCTAAAGAAAAGAGTTATACGGCCGAAAATCTTCAAGAGACTGTTCTTTTAGTGAGAAATAAATCACTTAGCGCATACCAGACACTTAAAAGGTACAATATTCCGAAAACGACCGCAAAAGGGAAGCCACGGCAAGAAATATGGAAGTGAAATAGTGTTGAGTGTTGATTTGGAGAACCAGCTAGGTTTGTATGTGCACTGTTTCTGTGCTGGCAGTCCTAAAACAACCAAAGAAATCTTGGAAGCTGCTAAGTACCTTGCGTCACTAGTTAGGCGTAAGGTACTTAGCAGAAAGGATTCCATCGTCAGGTTGGCTGAAAGGGTAACCAGCGATTTCCGAACCACCACGAAAGCGCTGAAAGAATCAGTTAATATGAATTTACATTAAGCCTTTCTCATACACTTTCTGTGTGTGTATTAACTTGAAATAAAATGTTTACAAACTAAAAATTGCTAACTGAAACTTATTTCCGAAAAAAAAAACTCCTTGGAAAAAATGCTATGAAATCGGAATTAATTCACTTGTGGTGTGGTTTTCATATTTCTGTAAGTTCTGATATTCTGTCATTTAGAGCCCCTAAAATGCCAGGAAGTGGTCAATGTGGTCCAAGGCCCTCAATATTGCTATTGGTCTTGTTATCGAATTTGGAAGTAATGTGAAGTGTCGCATGATAGGTTTTATTCCTTCCATGTCAAATTTCGGTCAATGGTCCATATACCCTGGAACTTGTTCCGGCCATATCTTCGAAACCAGGTGACCGATTCCAAAAATATTCGATAGCTTTCAATTGGAGCACAACACCTATAGTTTGACGTTAAAATTGTTCCAAATAGGTTCAGTGATTTCCGGGAAAATGAGCCATAATGAATAGCTAATGCGTGGAAAGTGACCTTTTTTTAAAACGCAATGAATCTCAAATTTGTTGATTTTTTTTTAAATAACAAATTCATAAAAAAAACTGTATAAAAATGGTTTATTTATGATACCAATAAGCTATAAACAAAGTTTTTGAACAAATGTAGGCTAAACTAGCATTTGCAAAAATAGGTCCAAACATCATAATTTTTTAGGTCCAACCAAGATCATAATTCTTTGCTGAATAAAAACATTTTATAAAATAATTTGTTCGTAATATTTAACTTTCTATATTATTATTAAAAACAAGAAAGGTAGATATTTCCCCTAAGCACACAATTAAATGTTGAATTCATAAAAAAAATACGAAATGCATTTTGACGTCGTATGAAACCGGCCTAAATATTTAGGTCCAAGCATCATCAGTTACCCTACTTGCAATCGTCGCCTAAAACTTCCTCTTGTAGTTTGAGCTGAATTTGGATTGGATTGACTGAAAAAAAAAACGAGACCAGGGACAGACAAATAATAGGCGATTCTTGTTCCACTGCTTAGTTCAATAATAAAAAATATCATCTTCCAAAAAATTCAAAAATCATGCAACAAATTCTCATTATCCAATATTATAAGATACTGTAAAGACTCGAAATCCAGTCACTAAGTCCATAAATCTGGACACTTTTAAAAGTTGATTATCACTGCCTAATATGCTCAAAATAGAACGTAAATTTGCTCATGGTCTTTGAGTATCGTTTTGAATCACCACACATATTTATTGTGTTTGTTACACAGTAGACGTAATATTTAATAATAAATTAAGTCTAAAGATACCGTAGATTAGGTAGTTTAAATTCTTTTAGTGAATGTGAATACGTTGATAAAATTATCAAAGCACCTGCATAAATCGTTTTCAAAGGGAATAACGACCCCTATCAATACTGAGATAAGGAACATAAACAAACCTAAAACCTGACTTTGACTATGATTATGATTATGATGGCAACGACGTAAACTCTGCAATACATAATCCGAATGAAATGTAATCACAAATCTTCCCTTTCAAATCAGGTGACATGGACATCATCATGAAGACAACCACAACCCTGTACGAACGGGACAATCACGTGTTCTACAACGTCACCGGGAGCAAAGTGGACTTTACCATTTCCGGCCTGAAGCTGAACATGGGAAACCTGTTCGAGGGGGTGAAAGTCCTCGAAGACAGCACCAATCAGTACCTAAACGACAACTGGCGACCGGTGTCGGAAGCTCTGAAACCCATCATTGCCAAAACCATCGAGGACATCCTGCTGGCAATCATGCAGAACATCTTCCACCAAATTCCGGCGGAGTACTTTGTGGCTGATTTACCAAGATCGGGTTAGCAGCGGATGCCCGCCGTATAAGAAACCGGTAAGATCCTCATTTTGTATTGCATCTTTTCCTAGCTAATAGTTGTAAATAAATTCCACCTGCTAGATTTGATTTTCCGTTTTTGTTTTTTGCAACTGAACGCAATGAAGTTATTCATCCGAAAGCCATGAATTTTGTCATCAAATGCAATGAATTTTCCTACGTGAATCCATAGCTAATCGTACCGAACCGAGCAAGCTTCGCGCGTGGACCGGGCCGTTCCTCATCGAGTCTATAGCTAGCGGAGGGTAGGTACACACATGGAGGTGTACGTTCATCATCGTTTCACCCGTTTCAGTCTCAAGTAGTCGTTGTTGTTGGTGTTGTTCTGTGCAGTGGCGAACGTGAAATCGTAGGGGTATTACCTGCTCGCCCAGATGACCGCCTGTTAATTTCAGATGATTTCGATTTCACTTTTGCGTTCAGCGAAGAACGCTGTGGAGGCCATTTTCATGGCCATTTCGCCCTAACTTTTGCGACTGAGAGTGAGATGTCGATTGGATATGATCGTGGTGGGGTGACGCATAGGACCGTGTCTGAGCACTGTTGAGGTTTTTTTTTTCGATGATAAGCTTATCTGGCTGTTACGTAAAATGGTATCTACTTACAATGTGATTCAGCAATTATCGTTATTTTTAGACAACAGTATCAAACGACATACCTGCAATGAAAGGAGGAAAGGTGATTTAAAGATTGCTTCGCAGATGTAAATATTATAGATACGAAATAAATCAGACACGTTTTTCAGAAGGGAATACAACACGAAAATAAAGTCTTTAATTAATTTATTCAGGAAAACTGTTTCGATCCTAAAATATTGTGGATAGCGTTTGATGGACCATGACTAACGTTCACAATCGAAACAATTCGCACTCAATCCGTTTTAAGCATATGTATGAGCAACAACCCCTTAGCAGGAGCAATCAAAATTTATCGCCACTTATTCGAACGGATGGCAATAAACCTTTGCGTATCAAAGCGTTGTGAAGAAAAGCCATATTTCATTAATTTTCCCTTTCATTGATTTTCATAGCACCCGCCCGGTCCGCAAAATCCGTTTTCGCTTTCCTTTGAATCGGATCGGAAAAATGCCTTCTGAACACCGACATTTTTTTGGTTTCCAAGTTCCAAGACTGTTGCACTTTTTTTTTGATCATTGGTTCGAGGTGTGATTAGAGCACGCGGTTCGGTGCATCTTCGTTTGTTGTGTGTTTTGTTTTATGGTCTGGTTTTCAGCACCATACTTACTTTGCCTCAGAGCTGATTGTACCCCCCAGTAGTTGGTCGGTCGATCAGTCAGTGGTGGTGCAATTGCACAATTGCATATTGTATTAGTGCACTGGTAGGCGGTTGGATTTCGGTACTTACTAGCCGAGAGCATAACCATAAATGTGCGTTATATTGCGTGGTGGTGAGGCTTTTGCTCCCCGGTAACAATTATGTTTATGATTGTAGAGTAATGGGTGCATCAATTTATCGGTTGGTTTGGCCAGAAGAGGAGGCTTTCTAATTAAGTTATTTCCAGTTTCGATTGCTACGATATTAGCAATTTCTGGCATTGAGATGAACGCTGATTTATTCGATACTTGGATCGATTAAATGGAAATTAGTTACTCTTCATCTATGTGATTCCTAATCTTCTATTCGTTGTTCTCTAGTTTGAAGTGGTTAATACTAGGATTGTGATGCATGGTTATTATCGGTGTCATTGCTTTTTTTTTCCTCTGTTCGGGACCTAAAATCACTGCGACCAGTAATTTAATCTATTGTAGTATATGCCGTGTCCTTAGTTTAGTGCATGTCGTATTTCTCCATCAATATTGAGAAATGATAATGTATTCGATTTCTTTTACAGTTGTCATTCTTGCATTTATCGCAAGGATCCGACTGTAATTGAAAGGCCCCGCTATTTATTCCCTTCGAAGTGTTGAAACACCCTCTACAGGCGCGCCCCTTTGCCAGTCAAAAGTGGATTCCTTAGCAACAAAATTAAGGAATGACACCGATAATGACCATGCATCAGAACCCCAGTCTTAACCACTTTAAACTAGAGAACAACTAATAGAAGATTAGAAATCTCATAGATGAAGACTAACTACCTCAGTTTTTCCTTGATTCAAGATCATCCTCGGTAGACAAAGCCGAGTCTTGTCACTATCAACAAGGCATAAAAAGTAACAAGGACTAAGATGTGTTCCTTGGATTACTGAAAAATCCTGTTCCCCTAGTTTGAAGTAGTCAGGACTAGCAATCGGTGGTAGATCTTACATCCCGTAACGTACCACGAAAAGGTGATCTACCCACGTTACGGGGCAATTGCTTAATTTTGTTGCTAAGGAATCCAATTTTAACTGTCAAAGGGGCGCGCCTTTAGAGGGTGTCTCAACACTCCGAAGGGTATAAATAGTGGGACCTTTCGATTAGAGTCGGATCCTTGCGATTAAAGCAAAAATGACAACTACACACTTAGAAAAATTCATGTAAATTTAGGTGCTCTGAGAGTGACATATACGAGCGTCAACTTTGACATAAATTTGAGTCATAACAGACGCAAAATATAGCTCAACCAAACGTACTTTTCAGTCTCGGAGCACTTAATATTACATGACATGATTGTTTACGTCTTATCTTTTATGTCAAAGATGGATTTCGTCACGTGTAAAATTAGTTATTTCTAAGTGTGTATATCAAAACCGAATACCTCATAATTTCTCAATAGTGATGGAGTAAAACGACATGCATTATATTAAGGATACGGGGCATACCACAATAGATCAAATAACTGGTCGCAGTGAATGTATGTCCCAAACAGAGGGAAAAATAGACGAAGGTTCTACATTTCCGAAGCTTTAAAATGAACTCATGTTTTGTTTCTTTCACACAACGCATTTATCGCATCATTTATATAACGCCTAGATAGTCTTTTAGCCTGAAACGAAAATGAAAAAAAAGCACGCTTAGAACGAAAGGCTGGCTGTGGATTTTTTCGGTTTAAATCCGCGGAATCCGGTACGAATTATGACTGCCCTAACGGATTTACTAAAGGAGGCCCTATAAAACATGGTACAAAGGTTCTAGGGGGTGTTCCTAATCTCCTATCCTGGCTAGTGACACTTGGACTAGGTGTCGATCTATTTCGATCGTTATCGAGAAAGTTTCGGTTAGATGTATTTTGATCAACATGGGAACCACTATCTGAAGCCGTTGGAGGGTTTGTACTCACGGCTACGCCTTCCTGGGTTGGCCCTCGGGAGCTCCTAAGTTGTTCCGCTGAAGCGCACAGGGGCGATACTAGGATGTTTGTTCACAATCAACGGGGTTGGAAGTCGGGCGTTCACCGAAGTCTGAGCCTGTACTTCGTCCAGAAAGCGAACATACGGCTGGATGTTAACTAACGGTAGAAGAGGGACATTCGCTTCACTATCGGCACGCCGTTGTTGCTGTCCGAATGGTTCCTTCGCGAAATCGCCTTCGATCCCCGGACTGTACCCAATGGAAATACTCTCCGTGGTGCGAGGGATCGATTCCGTAATTCCAGCTGGGACCCACTGGTTACTACGTTCAGGAAATTCGTTGATTTCCATGGGCGTTGACGATCCGACAGGCCCACTACTATGGTCTGATGGAATCTGTCGTTGTTCTTGTGGTGTTGATCGGGTAGAGTGTGAGTCGATAGCGGGGTCACCGTGGGTGGATATTTGTTGTTCGCTTCCACCTTCTGTCGGCTGCTTGTCTGGCTCCGACTGCTTCGTCCACTTCGCACGCTTGCCAAATCATCGTCGTGTTGGCGAAGCAGCTCGTGCTTCCGTACCAAATATTCTTTTTCTCGTTGCAGCTTCTCGTTCATCGTCCTCTCGATCAGCAGTTTTTCCTTTTGCAGCAGCTCTTCTTCCAGCTGTTCCCGTAAACGCATTTCGTTCTCCAACTTCTTCAGTTCCCATGCCATCTGGGTACGCCGAGAACTTGAAGTGTTAGACCGGCTAGTTCTCGAGCTAGCGGGGGGTGGAGGGACACACTTCACACAGATGAAATCACTGGATCGTACTGTAGCAATATCCACCTTTCCGCACGAGAAATGATCACCAGTGCTTGCATTTCCCGCACTGTACCGTGTATAACTCGGCATTGTTGGGCCGCTTACATTCCACACAATCGTATTCCTCACCGTGTTCTACGTCAATCACCGAAGGTTGGAATTCCCCGGTAGATACGTCATCGCGAGACCGTGTCCGTGCACCGTCACTAAAAGGAGGTTGAGAACCCCTGGTAGCTGCATCTTGGGTTGCTCGAGTCTTCGACCGAGTTTGGCGAACAAACGATCCTTGCTGCATATTGATGCCAATGGCCTCAAATCTTTGAGAATGTTGCGGTCGGGGTAACCTTTCGGAAATCTCTGTAGAAAATTCACCCTTTTGCCGGTAAGAATTAGCTCAAAGCTGCAAATTTATTGGTAAGAAAAGTTGCATGGTAGAATAACAAAGTTTACTTACATTTGGTCTCGTAATTGGTTATTGAATTTCAAATTTAGGTTTATACTTATGTAATTTAGAATTTAAGCTGTAATTAGTAGATTAATTAGTATTTATAATGGCCAAACAAACAAATTTTAATTTACTTCAATTTTCTTCAATTCACGTTGCTTTCAAAACAATAACATTCGTATCAATGCTTGTCACCGACTTTGACAATTCGTATTCGCATGTATACGTCCTACTCACACTATCGTGTCCAAACGGTTGAAGCTTTCGGGGGGCGCGTCGATAGACGCATTCGTCGCAACACTAATCGTCAGCTTGGATTCATGTTCAAGATATCTAAGGAATTTCATGATCCTCTGTGTTTTAAAGCCCTTTACTGTTCATTGGTACGCTCACTACTGAAATTCGCGTGTGTTGTCTGGAATCCCTACCAAGCAGATACGCTTGCTAAGCGACGAAAATATCGCAGGTCGTCTTCGTTGCTAAAGTTTTGCAAGCAGAATATGATGTTCCTGAGTTACTGCCCAAAATTAATCTGTTTGCTCCTGCCCGAACACTCCGTCCGAGAACCTTGCTACATGAAGTAGTACATGCAACCAACTATGCTGCAAACAGTTTTTTGTCGCCACGATTCATCAATTCACCGAAGCCTCTGACCTATTTGACTTTGACATCAATGCCTCCAGGTTTCGTCATCGTTTTCAATTGGCCAATTTTTAATTTTTAATGAGTGACTACATTTAGATTTAAATGTTTCATTGAGACTATCAAGTCAGATGGACTATAATAATAATAATAATAATAATAATAATAATAATAATAATAATAATACCACTCATCATATTTTGGACACTCTGTTGGCTAACCTGAGCGGTCGTTTGGTTCCACTATCTCTTCATCTCTGTCGCATCCCGGGTCACGTTTCCACTCTTCTTCAATTTCTGTTTGACAATTGCCCAAATTTCTCAATTGAGCGGAATTGAGGGCAGATTGATGTAATTTTAGAAGAAATCCATCCCGTTGTCTCAATACCACTGTAGAACTTCTCCGCTGTAGTAGCAG